AGAGTGAAGATGCTGATGTGAGACTTTAATGTGAGGCTGCAGCTTGACTTAGAATCACACGGTTAAAAACACAGTTCAGCGCACACAGACACAGCAATTTCCCTCATCCATGTTCAGTAATACCAAAATCTCTTGTTGTATCTGGGTGCAATGATGGTTAACGATGAAGGAAACCTAATCCATGTGGAGATGAGGCCTTTTTCTCCTAAGATGTCCACCTGCCCGTAATCTGTTGTAGGCTAGTTCCTGGTGAAAGGACAGTGTTCTCACAGAATCACTTAGGTTGGAAAAGACCTCTGAGATCACAGAGTCCAGTTTTGCTGCAAAACATCTCAGCATCATGCCACATGAGTGCTTGGGACAGCTCCCCATGGGGCACCAATGGGCTGAGCCCACACTGCTATTTCTCAGTAACATTATACTCAGCCAATCTGTCACTGAAACCCAGCTTTTATTTTTGTATCTGCCAGCCAGGTATCCGGTGTCCTCACCCTTATCTGATGGCTGCATATCAGCACCCCTAAGCTGCCCCAGCACTTCTGCCTCGAGGGTAACTACGACCACTTTGCCACCTCAAATCACACCTTCCCAGGTGCTCTCACGAGGCTCTCGGGGTTGCACAGCCTTGGAAACATCAGCAGGCAAAAGGCTGGGCAGAGTATTAAGGAGCAGCAGCCCTAAATTCCCTCCAACACATTCCCAGCCCCCCAGACCCCACTGTCTGCCCATGCAGATCTATCCCAAGGGAATGTGGGTGAGCACCTGGGCTCTCCCCCAGCAGGACTCCAGGAAAGCTTTGAGTAGCTGTTGTGCCACTGAAAGGCTCTTACACTCCACGGGACACGAGGAGCTGCTGTGCTGTGGCAGGGCTGGTGTAATTTGCTCTCTCCTGCCCAAGCAGAACCAGCTCCCCTCTGCTCTTCCTTCCTCCTGATGCCCAGCACAGGAGCTGGCAGAGCCACCCTGTCTGCAGTGAATAGGTCCCTAAATCATTAGCATTTAATCCAGGACACCAGAGATAACACTGGCACCTCAAGCAAGACAAGGTCCTGCACATAAATACAGAGCCATAAGTCTGTCTTGAGCTTGACAGCAGTTCCTGAGCCCCTGGGATACGTTTCCAGATCTTCCCTCATGAAGACATTTGCCCTTTGAGGAGGCCTTTGAGTACTGGATCTGAAGCACAGCAGATGCTCTTATCAGATTGCACTGCACACCCTACCCTCAAAACCCCCTCCACACCTCCCCCCACCCTCCACCCCCCAAAGAAACCCCAATCCTGTGGTAACTGTGACTTTTTGCTAGTTATTGTCCTCAGATTTTTCTTCCCAGTCCAAATGAGGCTACTCCTGGTGGCTCACTTGTCCTCCAGTAGCCAATGTCTGCTCCTATATGAGTTCCACCTTGGTTCTTAAATAGGTCATTTTTCTACCCACCTGAATTTTGAGTGACCAAACCCTGTTTGCACTCCTTGCCCACCTCTCACCCTTCTCCAGCTGCTGGAAAAGTCCCTCAAGCTCCTGCTGTGAAGGTCAGCCAGCCTGTGGGACAGCCCACTGGCAATGATGTTTTCTGGGGAAGAAGACACCTCAAACCCCAACATCTTATATATCTTAGAACTGAAGAGATTAAAGCTCCAGCAGCAGCCAGGACATGAACTGCACTCAGCACATGGCATTGACAGCTACAGATGACTGACCACAGCCACGAGAAAAGCCCAGTTTTCCTCAAAGGACTACTCCGTTTCCCACTGGTTTGGTGCTGGAAAATACAGAGGAAAAGGATGAAAACATTCTTTATTCCTGTTCATCTTTGCCTGTGCCTGGAATGACAGCCCAGCCACTGGTCACATCTTACGTGACTTCTCAGGTGTGACCCTTTCAAGAATCTCCCAGCTCCATGAGCTAAGGGAGTTGGTGCTTTAGCCCATTTATTTAACCATTAGCCCATCCATTAATCATTGCCTGGGCTTTGCTACTTTTAAATTGCTCTCTCCTTCAACCATTCTGGCTTGGTTTCCCTTTTCACCAGCTTCATTCCCAAAACAAGTGTCACTCCCTGTACCCTGGGCAGCAGCACATATTTAACCAAGGCCAGAAAATACCTTCTATCAGAAAGGATATCTCATTTGAGTGGTGCTCCATCCTGCTAGAAACTGGAGCATGCTGTCCTCTGTGAGAGAGGAATCATCGCCCCTCAGGAGCTCAGGGGCAGGACAGGAGGGAGGCAGGGGGATCTAATGATAAATCCATTTCCATCCCAGCTCCACATGTGTGTCCTAACTGCTGCAGATACCCACTGCCCCACTGTTCCCCAGGCAGGGGCAGCAGAAAGTGTATTTTTGGTTTTCAATGCTGTAACAAGGCCCATGGCAGCAGGGGCTGACTGAGACCTGTAAACCCTGACACTGCTGCCCCAGGGGTGAGGGTGGAAGCTCAGCCCTCCCTGACACTGTGAGATGCTTCTCTTCTTCCATCCCTTCCACGCGTTTTTATGGCTTTCTGCACTAAATAAGGATAAATGCACCTCACCCCACACCTACCTATCTTTTGAATCTTTTAATGAGTGCTCACCTCCACAGCCCAGCCCTGCTGCTGGAGGCAGTGGGAGATCCCAGCACCCCTGCTGGGCACAGCAGCGGCACTGCAGCTCTTCCCACCTGTGGTGACAGCTCCTGTGGGGCTCAGGGATTGTCCGTGTTCCCAGCCCAGACATGCAGCTGTGCTGCACCCCCTGTCACCCCACACAACCTGTCACCACGGGGGCTCTGCCCAGAGCCTCCCCTCCCTCTCCTCCTCTGTACCATCTTCAGCTTTGCAAGGAGTTTCTGGCTCCAACAAGGAAAAGTCATGTCCCACCTCCCCCCAGTGTCCTGCTGTCCCCTCTTTCTGGAGGAACGCCATTGTTTTCCTGGAATGAAGCTGTTGTGGGACCAGGCAGGTCCCATGGGCAGGGATATCTCCCACTAGACCAGGTTGCTCCAAGCCCCATCCAACCTGGCTTTGAACACTGCCCAGGGTTGGGGCATCCACAACCTCCTTGGGCAACCTGTTCCAGTGTCTCCCCATCCTCACAGAAAAAAATTTCTTCCTAGTACCTAATCTAAATTTTTCCCCTTTCAATTTGTACACATTCCCCACATCCCGTCACTCCAGTTCCTGACAAGGAGTCCCTCTCCAGTTTCCTTGCAGGTCCCTTCAGGTACCAGGAGCTGCTGTGAGGTCTCCACACGACCTCCTCTCCTCCAGGCTAAGCAGCACCAACTTTCTCAGCCTGTTCTCACAGGGAAAGTGCTCCAGCCCTACCAACTTTGTGGCCTCCTCTGAACCTGCTCCAACAGTTCCATGTCCTTCTTATGGACACAAAGCTTTCCTACCCTTATCTGCTGGCCCAACTCTGCTATGGACTCAGGCTCTGACCTAGGAAAGCTCAGTCTTAAATTCTCCTCCTAATACCCTACAGTAAGAAACATGTTTACTTGAGCCCCCTTCTAGGATCAGTGCAGCATCCAAGGATGAGAGTCCTCTTCCCTATCACCTTGGCTGAGTCCTTGCAAATTCCTTGTCCTAATCAATAAATGTATTTGTGGCCAGGATATCACCAGCTGAGGAGTACCTGGGCCCTGCCCATCTTTGATCCAAGAATACTCTGCTGAACTGAGCCAACCTGAGTTCATTTAAGCAAAGCATCATCATTGTTATGCCACTTCGAAAGCCCTTCCAACTCGAGAGGAGCAGATTCAGGATACTTTGTCTTTAGGATCAACAAGTTATTACCTGACATACAAATTCAGGAAGCTTCAAGAATTTTCTGTAAGTAGATACTTCTCACTTTCTAGTGACTTTTATCTGAATACTTCTTGCATAGATATCAGTATCACCACTACTTCTAAACTGTAACCACTGGTAGGACTTCCCCCAAAAAAGAAGATCAACTGCTCTCAAGTTATGTACCTGAAGGAAAGCTTAAAAAATCAAACAGTCTGTTGAATATATTTATGGAAGAGCTTAATTAAGCTCAGCAGCACCTGATTACTCCTTCTCCACTTTTATGGGACTGCTTTGTTGTCAAGCTCCTCCAGGACAGTTCTCAGATCCACAGTTCAGCAGCAAATCTTGCTATTTATTTCTAATTCCTTCTTATGTTTAATTCAACTTTTTCATATGGTTTTTGGGTTTTGTTGTTTTTGTTGTGTTTGTTTGTTTTTTTAAACACCCATTTGTCTCTGGCTTTATCCCATCACCTAATAATACAATTTTTGTATTACCCAAAACCTTTTGAAAATTATTGCAACAAATGTCACAACTTTGGCCACTTTCATTCTTTTACATGTTGATCTTTCATTTGCCTGCTACTGTAATTTGTAGCCACAAGCAAATCAGAATCACTGGCAGTGATTGCAGCTCAACTGTGGAGCTCAAGGACCACAAGACTGAGATTCTGTGGAAAAAAGAAGCCAGTCCTCTCCGTTCAGCCTTGGACTCTGGCTCCCCCCCACCCTGCCCAACTCCTAACGCTTGGAAACACCCAGAGATTACAGATGTTTCACTTGCATCTTGAGCTTTGCAACTGAGGAAGCACAAGTGCTTCTTAGTAAGCACAACTGATAAAATATTGACTTGTGCTTTTTTAATAAAATGAAACAAAAGCCATCTAAATCATAGCAGCTTACAGATCCAAACTGTCCATGGCCTGGGAGCACAGTGTGATTAAGAAGTACGAAAACTGCAAAATATTGAAGCCCTGTAGCAATTCAAATTTGTGACACCACCTTCCCACAGAACGAGCAATGCTGCCTGGTGCTCCTCTACTGGTTTGGTCTACTTTGTTCATGAATGGGTAAAATGTGGATTTTCTTCCTTGGTAGAAATGCCATATCCTCTTTTTCCAAAGGGGAGGAAAGGTTGAAAGCCCTTTTGATTAGCGCACAGTAGCTCTTTCCCTAATTAGCAATGTTCTTTTACAGCACTGAGAAATGAGGACTTTTTGTTTACCATTAGTTGAGGTAAGTGTATCTTGCTTTTATTTGGGTTTAAGACTACTGTAAAAGGAGTAGCTTTTCAGTTGCAGCATGGTTTGTCAAGATTACAATATTTATGACTGCATAAAATACATAAGTAAAAAAAAAATTATGATTTGTAGAGTTTGTTATCAAGAGCTGAGACATCTTTACAGAACTGCAAATACTGGCTTCCTAACTGCTAGTTGAATAATTTCGCTGGCAGGAGCATTTGTTAACTCTCTTCTTTAATCTCTACACCCTTTTGTCCAACTGTTATAAGAACTAGCAAGAAAGTCAGTAGTAACTACGGTTCGACTGCTGTCACAGCGTTAGATAAGCTGTACTGATTCTTCATTAAAACACCCCTCGTTTGAAGCTACAACGTAAGAGGCGATTCTTTTTGCTCAAAAGAAACTACTCGCATGCTCTGTGCCTTTAACACTTCACATTGATTACAAAAAATTTAACAATGCAATCACTAACATACCCCACTAATGAGAAATTAGGAGAAACTGCTCGATGCAGAACCCTCTGCATCAGTCAACTCTGATCGATAAGAAAGCTATCAATTTTGAAATTTAGATTTAATGCATTTCCAAGAAGCTAATGAGAAAGGAGCAACTTAAAATAAATACCATCATTAAAACTGCAAACTGTTACAATGATATATTATAAACTTGTCCTAAATAAACCTAGTGCTTCAAAAATTTACCAGTGAATTCATATTACAAAATATGTGAAAATACAATAGAATACCACAAAACAACGTCCTTTTTTTGGGGTCAACAATGACGCCAAGATGATTCAGTCTTCACTTTTAAAATCGTTAATAGAACATATTGTAATATATAAGTTGCAATTTGGTTGAAATCTAGAGAACATCCCCACCAATTTGTCTTCTTCATTCCTCCTCTAAAACTAGTGCCAAACTTCCTGTCAAAGCCGGTATTTTCTTGAAGAGCTTTAAAATTTAGCTGTTACTTACTTTCTACTACTACATTTTGGCAGCAACTATTTATTGGTCTGTTATTGCAAAAAGTGCAATTTAACAATAAACCAGTCTGAAGGTCATTCTATGTCTTGAGGATACATACCATATATTTCTTTAAAAATAATCATACTTTTGTAAGCAATACTTTACAGTAGACACCTCAAATCTACCATAGATGTAAAACTTAAAACGAGAAAAATTTAGTCTCTAAATCTTTATACACATATTTATATTCGAGTTTCTATATATATTATATATATACACAAGCACAAGAGTATATATAAAATATATATAATCAGATTCAAAAAAGAACAAAAACTGGGCACTGTACATAAAATCTTTTTAAAACTCAAACAATAGAAAAACTTTAAACATTAAACAATTTTAATAAAAGTTTCTGTACAATGCTAAGCAGTTTTATTTACATATAGAAAATGTAATAGGAGTAGTGTTTGAAATTACAGAACTCCTTAAAATTTCAATGGCAGGTAATCTGGAAAAAATAACAGCATTCCATTCACAAATATTTTCAAGCAATAAATATGTATTTATAAATAGTGTAAATTTACATCAAGATTAGAAACAAAAATCACAAATCTGAAGTTTATTCCTTAGTCTATGTGCAACCCATTTATCTTTGTGACTTGGCTGTTAATTGTTTTAAATTTTATTTAGGAACCAAAAGTGTAACCGTCATGGTTTCAAAACAAGACAGAAAAACATAAAAGCAGTAAAAAATTTATATCACCTAACTCTTCACATTAAAAAAAAAAAAAAAAAAAAAAAAAAAAAAGTTGCCCAAAGAAAGACTTAAAATTTCTAACTACCTTACAAAGAAATGACCAGCTAAGCTAGTACTTTTTCCAAGGGAAATTCTGAAGGGGGAAAAATGGATGAAACCAACTCATCAGCCCAGAAACAGAGAAATACAAAAGAGGTGGTCTTCAAGTCAGTAGTCTGTATAATGTTGCCAGTTTTGTCAGATATATACAAAACATGGAATTATTTTTTTTTGAAGTACAGCTGGATGAGCTTTATTTGTTTTGAGTTCTGGAGTAGGAGGCAGTGCTCTCTCCTGTCCAGTTGGTTGACACTCCGCACTTGGAAGGTTGCATAGACACAGCTTTCAGCCAGCAGCCTTACGGGATAGCTACAAAAATCAGTGGTGCAGAACTGGGTCACTTCCTGAATATCAGAAAAGTTTTCATTTAATGTCCATGAAAAAATGTCAAGATGAGGAGGATGGCAATGGAGGAGCCTGAAAGAGAAAACATTAAATTACCTTTTCTACAAGGGTGAAAAACTCTGTGTTTAACCAAGACCTGCACAAACTGCAACCATGAGAGTTTAAAGTCACACACACTACTCTTTTTACACTTCAAGACTCTTTCAAGTAGATACTGGCATTTTTTTCCAACTTACTCAAAGACAACATGTATTTTGTGAATACTTTGCATCAGGATTTTGCCTATACTGCAGACTGGAGTGTGCTGTGGGGACAGCTGTGCTAAATACGATGTGAGCTGCCAAAACACGTCCCATTGTGGCAGCAAAGAGCTCCACGTGGGCTCAGTACAGATGTAACGTTATATACTCTAAAACAGGGATTCTCAACCTGTTTACCAGTGGGAAAGGGGATGGTCCAGTTAGTGGCTCTCCAAATGCTTTAATTTTTTCCCCCTCTTCCACCTAAACAAAACCATACACCCCTCAAGTGAGGGTATCGGTGGAAAGGGTCTCAGATTCTCTGACATGGGGACAAAGTGCCTCAAGAGGGAAGCCAAGTGTCTTCTTCCTGCCTGCTGTCAGGAGTCGAGGTCTAGAAGGTACCTTTCTACTCCCCAGTATTGCACTTCATGCCATCAGTCTCTCTGGCCTGTTGTACCTTTGCTCTCTGAGATTATCCTCATCCTGTGACTTCCAACAAACCTTAACTCTCCTACATCTCAGAGATGTCACCTTTTAGGCTATGACTCTTCCCAATTGAGACTGTATTCCCTTTAAAAGAAATGAATGAGCACACCAATTTCACATGAGAACAATCACTACTGTCCTCCAGGGCCGCAGCCTCAGGCTCTGGTGGGGGAAGGAACTACTCACAGGTTGAGAACCCTTGTTCTAGGGACAATATCACTGCTGTTACCTAGAGTGTTATAAACACAGACAACAAAATGCTCCTCCCTCCCCCTCTCTTCTCCCACACACAAACATTATTCCCCATTTCCACTCAGCTGGATGAAGTATCTGAGAACAGGTGTTTATTTATATGCTTTTCTATAACAGATCATCACTTTGAAATTGCAGTATTCCACAAACTATAACGACAGTGACCTCCTAGAAGTATGAACTGAAGTTCAACCATCTCAGGCTCTGTAGGACTAATGGAGAGAATTAAATTCAGAGGACATGGTCCCACACTCTCACCAGCCTCGACTGCTGAACCTTGAGGCCTTAACTCAAAAGGTCACAACTTAGCATGCTAACAATACATGAAATAACTAAACACACATTTTCTGCAGCACCTGGAAATGAACCAAAAGGCACAGCCCCTTACTGGGCTGTCGTAATAAATTTAACATGAAATTCTTGTAACACTTAGTCCAATGTTTGTCTCCTCTGACAGAAAGGCAAGGCTTATAAATACATCCAGCATCGCTTTCATCGTGGTTACACAAAAGCCATCTTTGCCTGAAACAATGAAACCTGGGTGAAATGTTAGGACAGTTGTGCTGACACAGTTCAAAGCAGGAGGCTGCCATATATAGCACAAAGCTATAATGGCAAAGAGGCTTTTTGCTTTAAATTGAAATGCAAAGGAGGCCCCAAGCCAAAAGACAGAACTGTTTGAGAGCATCCACTTGCTAAGCAGAAGGACAGTGCTGATTTGGGAGTAGGGATGGGTTGGGAAAGGGAAGGAAGGGGTCTGAGTGCATAGGATGCTCTGCTGCTATACTGACTTCATACCACAACCAATGTATTAGAGATGCTCTTGAACCTGGTGCTAGTTTCTCCAAGCTTCACTGTCCTGATTCTTCCCATCTCCATCTGATCCAGTTATGGTCTTCAGGTGATCTCTATTGGATTTTTAAAGCCACAACTTTATGAATTGTAACATCACACTTTTCCTGAAAACTCAGTGGTTATGTTCTGCAGTAAGTTACTGAAGTATTTCACACAATTCTGACTCTTCAGCGTTTTGTTCTGTAAATATCACACACAACCCAAACCTCCATTTGCATCAGAAAGTCCACGGTACTCGTACAGCGGAGCACCAAGACAGTCTACAACTGCTTTACAAATAATGTATTTATGCACCCACTTATTAATTTGACTTACTAATGTAAATTGATCATAGACTTGCATCAAGTCCTCCATTTTGTACTGTTCTAGCACCACAAAGTTTTCCAGGTTCGTGCTTATCTTTCGTGCACAGTCTTGGCAATGTACAACGTAGGTCTTTCGAGAATTGCTCTCACTAGTGACAAAAAGCAGATCAAAGACTTCCACCTACGAGAAGGGAAACATGAAGTCGAGTGTTACAATTTCATTATTTTTTTTAAAAGTTAAACCATGAAAAACTGTATTTTCTCCAAGATTTACAACCTTACCCCCCATGCGTGCAAAGAGAAATATGAGATTTGTTCAGGGAAAAAATCTATTCTCCCAAGGCTCAGGCAGAGAGGTGAAATATTGTAAAACCACTAATACTGCACTTAGGATGTCTGCATGAACAGCGCTATGGGAAAGCTTTGGGTCAATATTGACAAAGCAGGATTCATATGCTGAATAGGGCTTACTCACTAAGGTGGGGATTTGTAACAATTACACCTAATTTTCCTTTTTAAAATTTGCCTGCAAGAGAAGGGTGTGATTTATTTCCTTACTACTGAGTCACGTGCTCATCCTGCCCAAGAGGCTCAGAAGATAATAAGGTCAGAAGATAACCAGAAACTGATTTTCAGGGGGTAGGAAGATTTTATTTTCTTTTAAGCTTGGAAATGATTATCCCATAGTTTAAAGCAACTAGTAACAGAAGGTAGAATAAAAAATTTCAGCAAAAAGATATGTCTTGTGAAAAAAAATACACTTAAAATTTTCTCTCTTCTGGGGGTGTTGCTCACTTCTGAAATGAAGACAGATACACCTTTAAAATGAAGCCCAGAAGATCAAATTACATGCAGGAAGGGATATAATAACTGAGATTTGGAAAATCGACCTAGTGAAAAACAATGCTGTGGAAGTACTGTGGGAGAGACTGCAGCCTCTGTCCAGAAAATCTTCTGGATAAGCTTTTTGAAGACAGTGCTGCATCACAATAAACGTGCTCAGAGCACAGAGAAGATGCTGCAACTTAAAAGCAAAATTTAAACAGCAACAACAACAAAAGACAGGGCAAAATTTAAATCAATACTGCACAAGCCCAAGACATATTTTTACTGACCTCACAAATGCTACAGTAATGAGCTGGCTCGTCCTTTGCTCGCCCATGCCAGACTATCTCCTTTCCTGCAGCAATCAGAGCTTCCCGCAGTGTCTGACACTGTTTGAGAGTTCTTAACAGGCAGTACCTGCAACCAAAACCAGTTGTGTGTTCAGTTCAACATTCAATCCTACAGCAAGACTCAAACAGGCTTGTATTTCTTTCCCTGGGAAAAGAGAAATTTCTTCTTACTCTGGGATTTCAAAAGCAGCTGCCTAGTCAGACTCACTGGACTCAAGACTTAGGGAGAAGTCACACCATGTGCTTATGGACCTCTGTGTAGTTTTGTTTCATGTCAGTACTGCCCCTTGCCCTGCTGTACCTTTTGCTTTTTTGTACCTTTTTTTTTTTTGGACTGAAACACATGAATGCCCTTTTAAGCACAATAAAACAATTTGCTTTCAAAAGCAACCAATGTATTTTATTTTGAACTGTAAATCTGTCAGCACAAAGCTTGAACTGCCAAGTTCAACACAACTGTTTACATTTTGTGTGACGACAGCCTGATCCAAAGAACTGTTTTAACTTCCTAAAAACCCTGTTGCTTCCTCAGCACCACTAATTTCAATGATCCCAAGCCTGAAACCCCAAGTTCTGCCAGGAATCATTCTACACACAATGGAAACAGACTCTATCGACATGTATCTTGTTCCATGCAGAAGGAAAATGAACAGGCAGGTTGGTATTTAATAATTAAGTCCTTTAACAAAAAAAAAAAAAAATTACAGAAAAAGATTGATCTAACACTTATTTTAATGAATGAAGAAAAGAACCACTCAAATGTCAAATTAAAATCTGTAATTCCCTGTCATACTTTTAGAAAAGCTAAAAAAAATATAAATAATGATTTTATGGACACAATTCTCTGCAGCTCTCTTCTGTACAAGAAAATGAAACTTGCTCTCTAGCACTTTATGAGCTACAGACATTCTCTAAAAAAAAGCTGGCAAAACAGGTCACCAGATTTCTAAATTACAATGTTATTTACAATAATTTTAGCTCTCAGCTATCCCATTTATTTGAGCTGCAGTCTTTGCAGCCTTTAATTTTCTCCTCCACAGGGTGGTTATGTTACATGCTCATTAGATGCAGAAGGAAGATTGAAAAAAATTAAGGGGAAAAACAAACATTGGACAGAAAACAAAGTGCTCAAGAGTTCTATCAAATGTTTTCAACTCGATCCTCCCATTTTAAAGCCTTAAACATGTAATAGGCACATTCTGTATTTTTTTTTAAAGTTTCTTTCATGTGTTTCCAAGTAGTTGGAAACAGAATCTTGGGCTTACTTTTGAGATACTCTCCTCTTGTTTTACACTCATACTGTTCATCCTCACTAAAAAACAAATCTGTGGCTTCATCAACACCCTCACTGTAAGGGCAACCCAAAACTGAGAGTGTGTTTCTCTTGTTAAACATCTGATTTCTGTATACCAAATTTCAAGGAAATTATACAGCTCATTAAGCTGTGACTCCTTCAACACTTCTGAAGTTTGATGTGAGTGGGACTTACGATGTCAAGGCCAACTATGTGTGGTGGATGATGTATTGATTCACTCGGGTGTTGGGTTATCGTGCTCCTGACAAGCTCAGTAACTTTGGAAAACCATTCTTTTGTGCAATACAGTCCTATGTCAAATAAAGTTAAAAAACCACCATTCTTCTCGCCTGCTGTTATCTGGAAAAGTCTTCAGGGATGCCAAATGAGTAACTGGAAGCACACCTGCAGACTTGCCACCATTGTTCTCCACTCCTGACTTCCAAGAACTTTCAGAAGTGTTATTTTGGAAGAGCTTTCTAGTGTTACTGATGTGAAAAAAGAAGTGCCCAAAATGTAACCACTTACAGCATCACTGCAATGTCTGCCAAATTTGCAACCAAAGCAGAAAACAATAGCTAGAAGGTGAGATTCCTCTCCTTGGATAAAATTCAGGTCCTAGTAATGGCACTTGAAAATATAAATGTCAAGTATGGGAGAAAGCATACAAACTATCCCCTTGAAAATGCACTGTTCCTGAAGTTTGGGAAGCCCAAAGAAAGCCAAAAAGGTGCCTAGCAGAGTCACAATGTGCAAGTTAAATGGGCTCAGCTTTTAGTACCGTAGACCTGCTTTTATTCTTGCTCAGTGAAGTTAAAAGAAAATCTACACCATCTCTCTCAAATTGTTTAGAGGTGTGGCATGAAGATATGAGTAAATCATGTCCAGTCAAATTCCAATATTTAACAGAAGATTTAAAAATGGACATCACCCTGACCTATTCTAGAAGGGCAGTGAGAAGTGTCTGAATATTCAGATATGAAGTAAAACTTCTCAAAGTGTGTAGATCATCCCAATGGCAATCCAGAACTGACCTCTTTGTACCTTTCAGTAATACATTTTGCCTGATACTTAAACGTATTTTATCTGGCTTCATGAATTTGTGCAAAATAATTTCTCTCATGTCATGTTCTTTTACGCTTCTGAAACTATTTTTGTAAAAGAACTTAGTATTTCAGTGACTTTGGAATTAATTTTTTAAGCCTTTATTACTATGTTCGCACTACCTCTAAAATTCTTCTCTTCCTCAGATGCATTTGTAAAAGTCCTTCTGGCTTCCATCTAAGAAGAGGTTTGCAGTTAATTTTTCTTTTCTTGAGGGATGTCCTCCCTCAGCCAAGTTTTAAATTGTTTTGTCTGCTGTGTTCCTGCTCACGATTCTACTGTTAAAAGCAAATCTTTCAAAAACATCTCATGAGAAGGTTTCAGGTTTTGCTCTTTGCCTTTTATCTATCAAGACAGCACTGAATTGCACATTAACTAAAAATATAACAAGGCTTCAGATTTCTTCCAAAAGCAAAGGTTCCTTCTATTACTTTTCCCCTTCTGCTCTTCTGTCTCTTTTCATTGCTAATCTGGCTCCCTATATTTAGATGTATGCTCAAATTCTAGTTTATTGCCTCTGCAGTGGTTACTCTCACATAACCCACTAAGATATATTTGTATTTATATTTCAAATTGAATTAAATGCTACTTTTTATCGTTTTCCAAGAGTTATTCTTTTGTACTATTCTGATACCCAAGAAGCCCCAGAGACAGAAGTCAAAGCTACCTAAACACTTCGATGTGCAATTTTAGATACACCTGTGCTTGGCAAAAAGATGATAGCCGTGTCACTTATCTTTACTTCCTGATGACAAATTAAGTCAGCTATCCAAGAAGAAATTCAATCAGCTCTATCAAAAATCACTATTTTTCAGGTGTTTCTATGCCCAGGCATAAAACACACTCACATATATAAAACACACAAATGTCTATACTTTGTACATAAGAAAATCCAGGTGCAGTGGACAACAATCACTTCCCAGTTGGTGCTGTTTTCCTGCAGACAAGCAGTCCGTAAGAAAATTAGGGAACTTTTCTCATATCTTACGAAAGATTTCTGCATTTCCAGTATGACTACAAAGCCAAGGCTGGACACCAGACTGTGGTGACACCCATTTCTGGTAAAAGCTATGCCATAACTACAGGAGTGACTACCATGAAGAGTTATCTCAGGTTTCTGCTACTGGATGCTACAAACCAGAGCTGATCATCCCATCTTCTTCCCCTCTGCAACACACAGTGCATGGAACTTGGGATCTGGCTGCCAACTAACTTGGAAGGAGGGCTTGACCCCAGCAAACTGGAAATGGGTTCAGTGGACTGGTTAAGCGAATGCATGCACGACCAAGGTTTCTATCTGCTCCTCAGCACCTCTGTTTATTTGTAATGTACAACCAAAGTTTAGGTCTCTTGCTAGGAAAAGCTGAGCTGCTGTCAGCCAGCAAGACAACGGGAAACTACCATCTTGTCCTCTGTGTTTCTTCACAACGTTTTAAAAGATTCTCTGGGAGAAGGATGTTGTGCTCAGTCATGTCTTTCTCCTTTTATGTCTAAACTGTGGCAAAAAAACCCCAAACCCGTGCAAAGGCAAAGTACAGGTGGCAAAAATATCAAAATCATGTTTTGCCAAAAACATCCCAGAACTGCTTTGAGTTTTACAGTAGATGCCTGCTGGGCTTGGGAAGATATATATATCAAGATAAAAATTAAGTAAAGCTTGTGGATCTTTTTTTTTTTTTAAATGGACTTTTTGGTTTCCTCCCTCCCACACCCTGTTTCTTTTCCCCCACTTTCTCATTTCCAACTATTCAGTTTTTATTCTCCCTTTTGTGACAGCTGGCATTTGGAATATGAGCACTAATTGCATAATTGAAGGGGCAGGACTGTCAGGCCTTCAGCAAATATTTTCTTTACTCTAGATATCAGTTACTAGATTTTAAGCAATTATTCACACATAAATGCTATCCCATAATCAAGTTTTGCAGCCACTACAATCCTCCCTGTCTTACTTCCAACATTCTTGGCCCTTATAAATTTAACATTTCACCAGTTCCACCATTCTGCAACAGGTGTTCAAGCCTAAATTAAATTCCTACTGTAAAAAGGTGTCTCACTAAGATGTCACCAGTAAATCCTACTGGGGGAAAAAATAGAAATCCTTTTCCTTTGCCCTTTTTTTGCAAGTTAATTCACTTGTTTTTTTAAGGATCCATTTCAAGGCATGTAATAAAAGGGTTCAACGCTTGTGGATCTAGGATGTTGATAAGACTAAGAAATGTTCAGAAGTGCTTTGGTACTTGGGCAAAATAGAGAGTGCTGCTACCAGAGGATTCTCATGATGAGTAATTTCCTTTGGAATTCATTCCCCCGCTTTCCTTAAGACAAACCTATGTTATATGCTGAAATGTTCATTCACTCCCCAGCCTAGGTATGATGCTGCAATATGATTTATATTTTCTTGAAGCTGGACTCTTCAAAGAAAATCACTGAAGATGCTTAAAGCCTGGAATATTCCTGCATTTTGGAATATGCGTATGAGAAATGTCACTAAACTCGATTATCATTTTGCACATCAATCAATTCATTGTTCAGAAGAAAGAGCAAAGGGAAGGAGGTTTTCAAATTCCTACTTGCCTCTATTTAAAAGATTTATTCTGGATCTCCAAGTGACAGAGGGAGAGCACTAACCAGAAGTTCTAGAAATGTAAAATTAAGTTTTAACTTTGCTGTAAAAATGAATATATATTCTAATATTTGGGTTGATGACCTAATTTTCTTATTTCTGATCATATGTACTCTGAGCAGCTGTTGTGATCCAAGTCAACTGTTTCTGTAAATTGCTGAATTAAGGCTATGGCACATTTAACTAAAAAGTTACTCAGATGATTCTAAAGCTATGCCACAATAACATCACATAAAACATAACAAAATTAAGGACATCTATAAATGGAGTGTTTGAAAAGCAGGACCTAGAATAATTTTGCTTTGGTTCTCAGGAATGGGGAGGTCTTACAATGAATTACTTACAAGTCAACTACTGGTTTATGTATGAAAAGCATACGAGAGATGTTCAAGTAAGTGGAACTTACTTTATCATTTCAAAAAGCTTTGGATCTGAGACCTTGATATTTCGAGCCATATTCCATGAAAGATGGACCATGGGTACTATGGACTTCACGCTCTGCAGCTTATTCCACTCGTACCGTTCCACTGCCAACTTGTATTGACAGGCTGCACAAAACAAAAATTATAGCAGCAATTAATCAAGTTAAGAAACAATTATCAACCAAGATCATTTGGTTTTAATACAAAATTATATCTTCTATAGCTCAACTCCATTTGCAATGACCCACTCATTGCAACTACATTTCAATTCTATAAAATGTCTTTTTAAAAGTGTATTTATAGTGTTAAAAGAACAAATACCACAGCAGCAACGAATACCTGGGAAAACAAGTTACTAACAAGTGTTCCATTTCTAAGGTGAACAGAGTGCAGTATTTCAAAAAGAGTTAATTACTAAACTTTCTAATGTTCCGTAACAGAAAAAAAAAAATCTAGATTTGAAATGTCTGCATCTCACTCTGTTCACTCTTTATCATAATTTTACACTGCTATGGTATATAATCTCTCCTTGAGAGATTTGCTGCAGTGAGTCAGACTTTTCATTACGCAGCCTACTCACCCCACCCTTCTTTTAAAAATGTTTTACAAAATTTACTGCGACTGAACATGTGAGCTCTGTATCAGTCAATCATACAATCCTAGAGATATACTGTTATTGCACCATATAAAGACACACTTTAAACTACCTAAAAAACCCAGAAGTTTTTTGGAAGTAAAATGCTTGACAGAATCTCATTTTAATTGAAAGTTTCCATGCTCAAATCTAAAAAACTTTCAAGGCTACAGTTCAAAACTAAAGACTTCTAGAACAGTAGGTCTGAAAAATCTGATGTTCTTTCATAACAAAATTTTACAAGTGTTTGTATTTCCTGATGCTTTCACCAAAGAGCTATCAAGTACCCCCACCAAAGTCAGAGGACTAGTCCTTAAACTCTTATACAAGCTCTAGAGCAGTTTGCTGGGAGAACAAATGTTGGGAGAAAAAAGTTAAGCCTAACAAAATAATGTATCAATTAATATAAACAATTTATTCTTACAGGCCCATTAAAAGCTTGAGTGCCAAGGCTACATTCTTCCTGCTTTTCCCCTTCCTCTCAGAATGGAATTATTTACAGCCTTCAACACATAACGTTTTAAAAATTCAGCACATTAATTATTTTTTAATCTACTAAAGCATGGTAAATTAGCAAGAAATGGTAGGTTCTGTGACACAGGCAGTATAATGTCACCTAATTAAGCAGTTCAAGCCCAGGCACTGCTCAAACATACCTGTAAGAGGGCCAACGTTCCACGCGATGTTGTTGCACCAACCGATAGCCTGAACCCAGTGAACAGTGCCAGCATTGATCCACACCAAATCCCCTGGTCTCTGAATAAATCTATAAACTGGGACATTGGCTTCATACAAATCTTCCAAGTTTGGCCACCAAGATCCCATTAGGAAATTCATGTTGTTCCTGAAACAACAAGAAAAACAAAGTCTTCAGCATTTACCGACAGACACGTTAACAGCAGATACTTCAGTGAAATTACCTGTAAAAACTCATCAGCACCATAAATGCTTTCTGCAGCTAATCAGATTAGTCAAAAGGAAAAGTTTCACTTAAAAAATTCCTGATCATAATTCCAACATTTCACATCCTGCAACAACGGAACACCTAACCATCCAACTGCCCGTGTGAAGTCAGATTAAGGCTTCAGGTTATGATCTATTTTCCTTCAAGTTTCCCAGTACTTCACTAATGCCGAGGCAGAGAAACCCTTGGTCAGATCCACTGTGACACTGGTGCTGGATGCTGCTTTTTTAGCCAGTGCTTGATTTTCCATGCAGACCATACCAGCTCCTAAGGACGTTCAGTTTTGAAACATGTACTCGCACTGTCTGTGTGTGAATGTGAAGCTTGTCCACACAACAAGCAACCTCTTGGCAAAAATTTCAACTGTGCTCCACAGGTCTATGCTATGTTCAGCCAAAGAAAGTCAACTCTCCTGAGAATCATGGAAAAACACCTCCATACGGATTTCCCAAGTATGGACTCTCCCACTAAGGCAATGCAAAATAAAGTCATTTTACTGTGCACCGTGAGAGATTACTTGCAATGCACAGTTTGCAAAGACAACTCAGTGCCTCTTACCAGGCAGAGCAGACCTTTTGTGAGGTTACCAAGATCTCAGTTTCTCTGTCACCCTCAGAAAGACAGTGCCATGAGAGTAAAAGGCATTTTGTGTCAGAGACACTGCAATTGCATCAGTGGAATTACATTTTTGAGATGGTCAATCTTTGGAAAGCTGGATGAAATAAAAGCAGTTGCCAGTAGATAGGCAGAAAATACAGAGTACAACAGAGACACTGAGATGTATTTGCAGAGCTCTGGAAAAGTTCTGAAGTCAAGAGCTTAATCCAGTTTTAACTGGGTAAGACAAGAAAAAAAAATTCTCCCACGAAATCAACTTCAGAGTCTACTGCTTGAATACCAGCACAATTAGGCGACACCACTGCTGCTCCCCCACCTTTTTTTTTTGTGGGTGCATGTGCAAACATGTACTGTTTTCTTTGTTTTTCAAGCAACCTGCCTACATAGGGCACAACAGAGAACTCTTAAGAGCTGGCTGAGCAGCCCCCCAGTGCTCAGGGGGGCTCAGTTTTTCCAGTGAATTACAATAGCAATAGCAGAGGTCAACTTGAACATGCAGGACAGAGTGCCTGGATAAACAGGCAGGGCTATGATGGATTTTCTGATGTGGAAAAATTACCACTATGAAAACTGGAATGATGCCATATAGTACACATTGGTAGCAGGCAGCTGCTAAACTTCTGAGCCCCCTTTATGCAGTATAAATGTGAATCTTGAATCTAGATGAGCATTTGCTACTACCAATCTCTCATCTCTTGTATTTCCTTCATTTCTATTTTGAAAAAAAACACAAGTAGAGGACCTAATGTTAATTTTTGATAGCAAAGCTACCAGGGGCAATCCAAGTCTCTGTACATTGTACAAATGTAGTATTTTGTATAAATTCTAGATTTTGCATTTTGACTTTAAAAGACTTTTCTGACTACATGGAAAACCCATAAAATAACGTCCCCACACAACACCCTCGGTAATTTCCCCCCTCAGGTCTCAGAAAGGCACAGAGAACTTGATAAAAATACACACAAAAACAGCACAGCCAGCTTACTTTTCACAGAAGTCATTCATGACACCCCAATAGCTCTCAGGGACAACAAACCATTCACAGTCACCTGGACCAATATTTATATTTACTGAACAGAAGTTGTTGTTTTCTTGATGACCTGACAGAGAAAAATAAGCACACTTTATATAAGATTGTTCTATCAAAATAATGCCATGAAAATGCAAAGATACAATTGCTAAAAAAATTTATGCCACAGTTTTGGTATTTGTATTTTTTATATGACACTTATATAACACTGTTTAGGTGCCTCACACAATTAAGCTACCAGTGACAAGAGAATTCTCCTTTGTTAGTTTGTGGAAAATGAAAAGTTGGAACTATCAATCTTGTGAATCTGACCAATATTTCAGCAGTTCCCTCCTTGTAGAAATAAATGCTTCAAAAGCTCAGATTTTCTGTTTCATGATATCTCTTGACAGTCCCAGTCAGGTGCAAAACTTCATGACTTCGGGCACCAAACAGACAAGTACTAAGAAAACCTTTCCGAAAGAGCTTTCAAAATCAATGTAGAAATGCTGGTATTTTATCTTACTTTGACAGCTGGAAAACTGAGCCATAATCCCTAATGGAATTTTCCGAAGTTGTATTTGAGAAAAAAACAGATCTTGAAATTTAGTCCAGATTCCTTCAGTCTCAGTCCAGTCCCCTAACACAGAACTATTCATCATGGAGGGTTCAATCTTATTCTCAGACAATAAAGGATCCAAAACAGTAAACAATAAACTGGTTTTTATGACTGCACAAGACCTATTCGGGAAGCCTATAAATACTTTCAAGGTATGTAAAATACAAATAACTATCCAGGTATGTAAACCTATCCTATTTTATTCCTTCAAGAATCCAACACTGCCTGCAAGAGTCAGTATGACAATTATCCACCACTGCAGAAATCCAGAAATTTACACTGTAAGACAACTCAGTACTTTGCACACACCGAGTTCAGTTAAACAAGTAATAAAAGAAATACTCAACAGGTACAATTTTATTATGTTTAGGCATGCTGTGAGATACAGAAAATCTGCAGGGCAGTTAAATCAATACCTCAGCAGTAGAACCTGATTTTTTCATGCAGAAATTATACTCACCTGGTGTCCTGCTTCCTGGAACCTTCATGTACAGCTGCACTGTGTTCATGCCCAGGATGGTATGACCAACATGGCTTAGAAGATTTCCTGCTGATACCACACGTACAAAAGCAGGAAGTTTTGTCAGTTCATGGAGTTGCAACTTCCACCTGCAGCAAAATAGCAAATTGACAAACTTGTGAATCCCTAAAACTCTTAAAAGTGTTTGGAGAATATAAACATTTTTGAAAAATTGTTAGCACAGGTATCTGTGTTAACTCTTTCCATTTGAAATACTTCCAAATACGACCACAGACCTGATGGGCAAGTTGAGGGGAAAGAGAGTTCTGCAGCAAAAGCTGAGATTACAGATCAGAAGATCTGGCATCTACTGGGATCCTACAAGAACTATTTAAATTATCAAAATCCAATTCCCTAAGAGCCTCAGCTTAGGTTAATGTGAAGTCTCTCTCCCAAAAGTTTACTCAGAGGGATAGTTTATTAGCAACTGTTTTGATCCTACGGATGGAATTTCCTTTAGAATAAAATGGTGTTGTTTGAAATTTTATAACCACCTCTAATCACATGTGTGGATACACACACTGATCTTTCAGTGATTATACCACAAAAGTCCTCATCATCTTAAGCAGTCCTTATTCCCCTGACACCCTAAACTTTTCTTCTGCTCTAATGACTGAGACAGACCACATGTTTTGCCCTGCAGCTGGCAGAATTGACAGTCTAGACAGGCTGGACCTTTTATGGAAATATTTACTAAATGGAGACTGAACCAAAGAAATAATTAATACTGGACAATAAAATAATTTTTTTCAGAGTATTTCTGGTATTTTCTGGTGTTTTTCTAAGCTACCTTCATCTACTCACAGAAAGATAAGTCTAAAAAAATACTCATTTATTCCCTATTTTTTGAGGCTCTGGGAGAGGTATCATGGCTTATCCACAGGCAAGCACTGGTCTAGTCTTTATTACATATTCTGATTTTGCTCCTGGATAAAGAAGCAAGAGTTATGAGAAAGTGGAAACAGAAAAGATGACAGTATGAATGAAAGGAAAAAATCCCACCCTGAATAATAAAAATGAAGAAAACAGATGAACAAAAAAGAAACAAACCTTAATCTTACAATTCCTATGCAAAGACTATAAACTTGGTATTGTCAGAAGTAATTAAACTTGTAAACAAACAATTTAAAGCCTCATAATGAATCAAAGGGAATGGATTAGAAGGAGGACTAGAAAGAACAGTTTTTGATGGATGTTTAAATTCATTTCTGGAAAAAAAAAATCCTGGAAAGAAAAGTTTGAAAAGATATTTTAGCGTAAGAAAAGGACTCGTAACAAGAGTTTCAAGGCCCATTTCATTGTGGAAATGGAGTGTGCAACTGGAAATGGGTTTATCAAGGGATTGACCGATGACTGCGAAGAATACCCTGGATTTCCAGGGGTATAATACTGTGCAATACCACTGTGAGCAGCAGAAACTGTAATCAACTTACTTCTTGTCATCTGACAGGTCAATGTTGGTCCCAAACTTGATTGTTTTAAAAGGTCCTCTTCTCCTCCTCCCAGAGCTGCAAGTGTTAAAAATACAAACAGACGAATGTGAAAAATGGGAACGTAAAACACCACATAGAACCAACAACAGAATTAACACAGTTATACCACACTTACTTATCAGAAGATGTGGATTCATTATCTGAGTGGTCCTTGTGGTGACTCTTCTTCTCATTTTCCTCCTACAAAATGCAATTTTAAAATGTTTATATATATATATACACATAAAAGAACATATGTAAAATATATAGGTATAAAGTGATAACGAGGGCATAGATAAAAGTACATTTGTTTCAAGATGCTGAAACAATCTTTGAAATATCCATATCTGAAGTTTTGTGTCAATATTTCTGTCAAGAAAATTATTTACAAAAAAAGTTAGAAAAACAATTCTTCATGATTGCAGATTCATTGAAACTCAGGCCAGGACAACAAAAAATGCCTACACTGTAAATATTTTGGGCCTGCATCAGAGGTGCAAATGAGTCTGTTGTTCTGCTTCCTTATGCAGGTGAATCCAATCTCAAGGAATACTGTTAATTTTTTCAGACTAGAACATCCACCTTCCTTCAAAGTCAGGTAGGTATCCTGATATGAAACCAGGATGACTAACATTTATAAAACCAATTTTATAAAATCCATTACATAAAATCTCTTGAATTTTTCATGGCCATATGCTATTTTAGCGCTGCAGTGGCTGGGACCATGACTAGTGGAAAAAAATCCATCCAATATTAAATGATGCAATTTGATCTTTTTAGCAGAGCACACTCAAACTCCTATTCTAAAGACTTCTATTTTGGCAAGTATATGGACACAGAAGGAAAGAGACAAAAAGGAGGAATGAACTGTCTGGAGTCTATCCAAAGATCTCTGGCTTTGAATGGGATTGTTGTTAAACCTCAAAGTGCCCTGTGTACCTGAGAAAGTCTTATTCATCCTTTGAATGAAGGACAAAGAGAAACAAAAAGGAACCTTGTGATGATGGATTTATCAAATACTGCAAGACATGTTAGGAAAGCAATGTAATAGTTGTTAGAGGAATAAAGAAAAAAAGATCACTTAGGGCAAGTCAAGAGGATTGTGGCTATAGAGAGAAGAAATAAAGCTTTCATCTGAACACTGAAAAGTCACCTAAGGACAGGTCAAAGCAGTGCTAAGCAAAGGACACATGTACACTGTCTTTCTAATTTCCAGGGGAAAAATGAAAAACATCACTCTGAAAATTATTTTATGCATTTTTACAACCAATTTGTAAAAGTGAGAAAAAAACCCCAGAAAATCCTGCAGTTCGTATCTTGGTGCAAATTCAAAGGTGAGGCTTTCCATGGTAAGTGATCAAAGATTTAAACATGTATATATACATATATATATATATATGTATATATATATAATGTTCCAGTGATGTAATGTTTTCCAGCACCTCTGGAATGATGGTGTGACTGTTCAAGGGGCACCAAAAAAGTTCAGTCAATATTCTACCTATGTTTATTACCACTGCAGAGGAAGAAAAATCCCATTTATGTCACAAGGTCTTGATGACTTCCATGCCCTACACTTCCCAAAGGTTCCCTGTTTCTTTTCTTCATCCTGTGTCAGTCTTGCTCAAAACATTCTGTCTAGACTCCCTCCTGTTCTCTTCAACTACCAATTAAGTTCTTTGCTTCTAATCCTTTCCTCCAAAGCACAAAATTTAAATTTGGATTTTCTCTTTCCTTTCTTAATAAAATTATTGCTGTTTTTGAGTAATGGCAGTGAAAATGACAATAGTCAATTCCCCACGTCGGCATTTTCCCTATTTTCTAACAAATAACTGGCAAAGAATATCTTCTTGTCTTAGTTCCATCTCAGCCTAATCTTTGTAACACCAGATAACATAAGCCTTCGAGGAGTGCCCACAGACAATGTGTTCACTACTTCAGTGAAAGTACTAAAAAGTAATATCAATAAAACCACATTTCACAGCATCACAGAGTAACAGAATAATCAGGGTCAGAAGAGATGTTTGGAGACCATCAAGTCCAAGCCCACTGCCAAGGTAGGCAGGGGAAATATTACTTCCAAGATTTCACTCTGTCACACGTCTGAAATTTTTGAAATTAAGCAGAAACTGTTATGTTTGGAAAGCAACAAAAGACAAATATTACTGTAAACTTCTAATAAGCTGCATCCAAATTAATTACGTACAATGAAGAAATTGGATTTCAAATTATGTGTGAAATTAGAAGCAACCCAAATTAAAAAGAAACCCTACTGCACTTCAAATGTTTTAATATGAATTTTGACACTACTATATGAAAGCTTGAACTAGCAAGCTTTTAAAATATGTAATAGCTGTGAGTTTTACATTTACACATGAAACTTAAGTTTACACTAAGCATTTTGGGGAAACAATGACACTATGTGACCCTCTATTCAAACCAGATTCTGCAAATTTACCTGTGCTCCCCATGCTTAAGGAAACGTCTCCTTTCCCTCAGCAGCTTCTGTTTGTTTTCAACAGCCATTATTCACTGGTTCCAGAGTCAATACACAGTTTGTGAACTATAACAAACAATAACAATGAACTTACCCTTAAAGACTCCTGGAATGAGGAGGCCTGGTACTGTGCATATTTAGCAATTGTTGTGTGAGATCTACTGCTTTCACAACGCCAGATCTTCTTTGTTCCAGTGGGGTCCCAGTTTTCATCTGCTGGCTGCAGTAGTTGTGTCCTTACTTCTACTATGTGTTCATTATTCGCTTCTACCAATGTCTTAGTAGAGAAGAGTCCTAAATCTAATAAAGAGGATCGAAACTAATGAATGACAGTTCAAGTGTAATAAAAAAACTTCAGGAAAATACCTGGAGTTATCTAAAGGTTTACCCTAAAGCACTTTTCTCCCTCAGCCTTCATGACACTGCCCACCTGTACATTAATTATTAACACTGGTGATTAACACTCAAAAGACTTTTCTCCAAACAACAGTAGAAGCTTAGAATAAACTTGGCAGCTGCTCTGTGGATTATATTCCAAGAAATATTTTATGGGCCTTGGGTAAACAAATCTGTAAACAATGTTTAAATCTATTACCAATTAAGTATTTTTCAGAGCAGCTACTCTGTGGATTATATTCCAAGAACCATTTTACATGTCCTGGGTAAACAAATTTGCAAACAATGTTTAAATCTATTACCAAGAAAGTATTTTTCAGACCAGAATTATGAATGTACTTCCATCATATAACATATTTACTACCAGCACTGATAGTTTATTTGTCTACAGACTCCAAAACGTTGTACGCAGTCAGACTGTAGATCATTAAATCTGAACACAGAGACATGCATCCAGTTTTTTATAGGAAAAACATCTCACTGTAAATTTCCATATCCACAGCTCAGCTCCTCTCTGTGCTCAACAAAATCTGCTCTATTTGTGGTGGGTTTTTTTGACACAATCAAGATCAGGAAAAACGGCAAATCGAGAAATGACACGTTACCCTAATGATTTGGAATATACAAGTAATACAGTATTACAGAAATAAAACATCCACTTTTAAGAACTGAGATATTTCTCTTTAAAAAAATATAATTTCCCCCTTTTCCCCCTCAAAGTAAAAAAATATAAAGTAAATTTACCTAATTTAAGCGCTCCAGCAAGGCCACGTATTACAGTAACAGGGTTGTTTGGATTTGTACAAAATTGATGTAAAGGTGGAAAGAAAGCATCTCGTTTATTTTCCAACTGCAAAATTATAATGGAATGTTAGATGTCAGATCAATTTAGATTCCTTATTTGTAAAACAAGAAAGAAAAAAAAAGAGTAAAAGGAGAAACAAAAGAAAGAAAAGAGGAATTTTCTCCATTTCCCCTCACTGTGGGCAATGAAGAGCTACATCACACAATTCTTTCTATGGTTAATACTGGGTTCACTCCTGAAATTAATTTGTTACTGTAATTTGTTTCTTGGCATGAATTATTCCCAGGCTGCTTTGGCTTTTGCAACTCAGGTTTCCTGCACTTAATTTCTTTATCTGACAGTAGTCTTGTACATTCCCTAAATCTACAGAATTCTCTGAAGAGCAAGATAATACAGTTTCTTTTCAGAAGTTGAAAAAAGCTAAATCTACACATAATGTATACAAGAAATGGTACAATTAAAAGACTGCTCTCACGGTGTACTTTGGATGGACAACACTGTGACAGACTTTCATTGAGGTAGATGAATTCAGGTGCAACACCCATCCAACTACCCCATCCAACTCAACCTGGCTCTCAGGCAGACTCCTGCAGTATTAAACTGAAGTACCAACTCTTCTGGCCCCCAAACTGAGCTGACCAAAGCTAACTTGAGCTTTTCACACTGGCTGTATGCACATACTGTAGCTTATTCATCTGTTATCAAGGAAGTGGATATCCTATAATTTATTCTTCTATCACTAAGGAAGTTGGCTCAATAAAGCTATTATGAAACTTTATTTCCAGAATAGAAGTTTTAATGCCTGCCTAAGAAAATACCACCCTACCAAACCCTGCCTTTTCCTAATGACATTTTGTTCTTAGCATCACTTGGTCTTTTATTAATTTTTCTTCATTATATTTTGGAGCAGATTGTTATGAGAGTTTAGTTGAGTTACTTGTTCATTTATACATAAGCTGTCACTTGCAAAAACCTGTACATACATATTTGAAACACTGTGCATTGTATCTAATGAACCCTTCTGCTTATTCTGCCAACATTTTGAGTATTAAAAATAAAAAAAGCCTGAAGTGGTTTGCTCCATGTTTAGTGAAATTCTTACTATACAAGTACTTTAAGAGTCAAACTATGTCTCAAAATTTTCTTTAAGGTTAGCATTTTTCCTGCTTATATACTAGTCTAGAGAGCACTGGAATTAGAACCCAGTGATGAAGAGTGCATCTTTAAAATAATTACATTACATAATTCAGATATCCAAACAATTACAAAAGACAGGCAGCAGTGCACTTCTGCCACTTGATTTACTTACATAAATACTAGGTGTAGGTGGATTCAGCTTGTCCTTTGGCAAGGGAGGGTATGGTGGAGGCGGTGGTCGTGGAGGTGGGCATTTATCCAATAGAATACTACTGTTAGATAAGCCATTTTTACCCAGATTCCTAAAAGGAAAGAAGAGCTGCCTCTGTCAATGCTTGACAAATAAAATAAGTACATATTGGTGTAATCTCCTATGCAAAATAACATTGTGTAAGGAGAAACTGCAACTTAAGATGCAAATAAAGCCCATATATTTTAATCAAGAATTTTCAGTGTAGAATTTGCTATTAATTCAAAATTATTCCCACTCTGCCTGCCAAATCTACAACATCGTCACTATTAGTTAGAGATATAGCCATTTTAAATACAAGCAAGTGACAAAGTTTAACAGAAAAAGCAGGTTTCAACTAGAAATGGAGAAGAACCTTATCAGGTGGATGATCATTTCACAGGAGCTGAGGAAGTGCAGTCCGGTGCTGAGCACTGTGGCAGAGCAAAAGTCAGAAAATGACAATGTCTCAGCCAAAAAAACCCCCTGCTGAGCCACAAAACCCAACTACAACTACAGACACTGAACTGAACCACCACCTACCCCTCCCTGATTTACACGTCTTGGAGCCAAAAGGAGCCACTGCTGTATAATCTATTTTTCTGAGCAACAGAGGAAATGCCCCATCCCCAGTGAGTTTTTGTCTCAACACCCCTGTGTGTAACTTCAGCGAGAACCTCACTGCTTGTATTTCCAGCCTTTCACTGGATATTTCCATGTGGATAACCCACTGTATGTTTAACTTTTCCTAGAACAGATGGCCTGAAAAATCCCACTCTAAGCTTAGCCTATAGTCAGTACCCAGTTACAATCACCAGGAAGTATTTTTTGATAAAACCACCCCTTTCATTTTTGTTAAAAATGACTCAACTACTTCAAAATTCTTCCAACTAAACGCTATTCAGATCATTCTGCCAACCTCACTGGATTCACTAACTATTGCCACATCCCACAAAATGGGACGTTTCCAATGCATAATTTGATCACGTGTTATATAAAACCCACTGGTTGCAACAAGAAAGTTGTTCTGGTAACAACAGCCTCCAGCAGAAAACACAGATGACTTCTGTTAGATGGAACTCCCAGCAATAGAGCTTCTCTCTAAGACAGAACCTCTGATGCTGCATTGAGAAACACTGCAGAGCTGGATGCTGGCATCTGAGAGCTTAAAATGAAGTTACACCACAAACCACGAGTAAGATGGACTTGGGGTTTGAGATCAGATCAGGCTGATTGTTATGACAAACACTTTAAAAAAACCGGGAAAACACCTCCTGTACCCCAGGCTGCAACAAAAGTATCCTGAAAAACTGGTGGCCATCATGACAAACCAAGTCAGCCACTCTGTTCAGAACGTGCCAGTTTTGTACCTCTGACAGAAGGTCAGAGCAACACAGAGACATGATTAACAACTTCTCCAAAGCACATCTGCCAAAACACCACACAGTTTACTCCTTGTGACAGGTGAGTCTAAAGCCACAATAGACTGGAGTTTCAAAGGGAGTGAAAGAACGATGCAGAAGCTTTGATCAGGCACCATCCAACACGGCAAAAAAAAAAAAAATCACTGACCAATGCTTAATGTCTGATGGAGTTATTACAAACACCCTACTGTCCCCCAACACACAAACCCCCTCCAACAAACCAAAACAAAACGAGACCTCCAAAATAACATGGCAATATAAAATCACTACCACACAGAAATTTTTTGACCACAGTTGCAATAACCTGAGATTCAGACCATCTATACAAAGTGAAATTATAATCTAAACAGTAGCTGTTAGAAGTTACTATAACCTCTGCATTACCAAACTGAAAAAAAAATAAAATTAAAAAAGTGCAAATGTATAGTACTAAAAATAGAAGAGAACTTGGATGAAATTCAGTTTGCATTGATAAACAGTTCACAGACAACTTCTGAGGCAGTGAAGATGAGAAACACCAAACTTGAAGAAAAAGATACATTGCTCAGAAGTAGTGTGACTCCAGCTACTGAAGTCACAGCAAGGTGGTCACCTCAGCAAAGCTCAGTAAAGCCACGGGGTCTTCAGGGAAGGGGGGTAACAGAGAGAGGAGAAACTTCTATACACTTAGAGAAACCACGGGTCTGAAAAGGCAAAGGAGATAAAGAACAGTAGAGAGGAAAAGATCAGATGAAAAAAGGTATCTCATAAACACAGCATCTGAAGCTGATATTACCAATTCCAAGCTATAATTTCCTATTAAGTTATTAAAACCCTCTGGAGAAATTTTAAGAGAGCAAAGGGGACAAAGGAAAGGAAAGCTGGGATAGCAAAACATTCATAATTCAAGTGACACAGGAAACAGATGGGCAAAATATTTAAAGTTGTCTTTAACAGACCAGCTTCACTCTATCATCTTTTTTTTTTTAACTATGAATCAGAATAACTTACTATTAATAACAATGCAAGAGAGCTATTAAAGAATAATTCTGTAATTGATAGTGTGCCAAACAGAGCAATAGAAAATATAAAAACCACTACGGAAGTACTAAAAATATTTGCTACTAGCATCTGAAACATGTGAGTAACCACTGCCAGCCTCCACCTCTGGAAATACAGAACTATGGCCAGTGCAAGGAAAGTGAAAGACCCTTTTTGACCACAGCAACTGTGATGAAAATCTCACAAATCTCAGTTTCAAGAATGTAGTAGTCAAGATTTCAGTAGTAGTGAGAGGATTTCATTCTGGCTGAAAGAGGCAACAGATGGACAGCTGGACAACTCAATACAAAACAAGCCCCATGAAGAAACTGGATAGCCAGTCACCTACAACAGCGTGATGGAGGAATGGAGAGGACAGGCTTCATTCCTTTTAAATTGACTTTCCACAGGAAACTTGGCTTGTCATGGACTATGAAGGCAGGAGAACATCCTTCACTCCCACAGAGGGAAGAGAAGGCAGGAGCAGCTGTCAGGATCAGGAGTGTAGCCTGTCCTGAGCCACAGCTGCAGCTCTCAGTCCAGGGCAAGTTACTCGAAGGGTGAAAGCAACAACAACTCAAGTGGGTCATTCTGAGGACCAAACTCACACTGCTACGCTTTGGAGCAACATCAACCACCACAGATGAAACAGATACCTTGATTTCACAGAATCAATTAGGTTGGAAAAGGCCTCTGAGATCACTGAGTCCAGCCTGTGACCGAACACCAAGTCATCAGCCAGACCACAGCACTGAGTGACACGTCCTGTCTGTCCTTAAACCCCTCCAGGGACGTGACTCCACCAGCTCCCTGGGCAGCCCACTCCAGTGTCTAATCACCCTTTCTGTGAAGTTCTTCCTTATGTCCAGCCTAAACCTACCCTGACACAGTTTAAGACTATGTCCTCTTTTCCTATCCCTGTTTTCTTGGGATTATTTCATGTAATCATGGGATCTCTTGAATAATCACTCATCACATTCATTACAACATCTCTTTTTTTCCTATTCTACTGCTTTCTAGGATACATTCCCACACCTTCTAAAAAACACAGATTACAGCCTTCAGTCTCAGACAAAATCTTCTCCTCTGGCTGTACCAAGACCCACGGGGGACCAGGAGAAGGAGTGTGACACAGTTGGTTTCACAATAATCACCAGTCCCATTCACAGCACCCACTTCCCAGCCCGTGCTTTTAGCAAAGAGTAGCACAAATAACTTAACAATATCTAGGGATATCGACAAATGGAGATGGATGGTTTAGTCTGAGATGATGCCTTCATCCACCTACCACACTTCTTCCCTCGAGGGGATGTCCCTGCCCCACAGCAAGGTAGGCTCCAGCTCCAGCCCTAGAGACTCCCCTGCTGGAGCTCTACATCACTATTAAAAGCTAAATAAAACAAGACCAAAATCTGATCTCAAGGTACTATCACTGAAACATTTACAATTACACGAAGCTTATCAGGTAGTTGCTAAACACTTCTTAGGTGCTGTGCCGACTTTGCATCATCCCAGCTGACTACAAACTGATACAATGCAAGTTTAAAGCTACTTGTGTTACAAAGCTGAACCGGTTTTAACTCTATTTTATTATCAAAACTCTCAAGTACATCAAGAATATTCAAGTTTATATGATAAAACCTATTTTCTGAGAATCAAGAATCATTATCATTAATTACCATCCTCCAAATTTATTAAATTAATTACCTCAATAGTTTTATTATTTCACTCAAGCCTAATGTCAGACTGAGAAAATTATGTCTATTTCTCAGAAAGTAGTTCCACAGTGCTCTTCAAGTCCTCTGGAACCTTTCCTGTTTTCCAAGAACTATATAAAAAAAAAATCATTATGAAGGATAAACAATCCTCTGGCCTGCTCTTCCAGAGCTCTTGGATGTATGTTATCTGGGCCTCTGGCTTAAAAAAGCCAGATTTAAGTATAACTACTGTTTAACCTTCTCCTTGAATATTGTGAAAACAGAGAGTGTGTTATAGGACATCCCATGATGTGAACATTTTATCTGCCTCTTTCCCAAGCACAGAACAAAAATATTTACTGAACCCTCTTGCCTACACAGACAGTTTTAACAGTTCTGTGCAGTCACTGAGATTGGTATTTTTTCTGTTTCTTCTTTTTCATTCTTGTCTACAGCTTTTCCTCTTCCAAATTGTAATTTCTGTGTCTTCTAGAACTCTTAGCCTCAGTCCTTCTGAAAATATTTGCCCTTTTTGTTTTCAATTGGGAGATTATGACTTTTTGATGAAAATGAAAAGTTCCTGAATGATTTCCAGTTATCCATACATTTGGATTTTAGGTGTAATTTACAGGTCAAAACAGACTAAGTTACAATCATTTGCGCTTAAGCAGTTATTTTTGTTGTGAAGGCCGTCTAAGTGAATTATTATTTGAGGATTAGCTGCATGAGAATTAACAAGGTTTTACCGCTCAAGAGATTATAGTTATTCCAAAGAATACAATTAATACTCTCTCTTCCTCCAATAAAAATCACATTTAAAATGAATACAAGGAACTGTGGATTTATTTGATGCTCTATCTCAATTCCATCAGAATTAATTAATCTACAAATAAGAATGAACAAGACCTTTTTAAAATGTGCCTGCAGAAGGA